GATGCTCTTGTTGGTAAGTTATATTTATGTTTATAAGTTAAAGAAGAGAGAAGGAAAAAAAATACCATAATCGCTTATTCAAAATCAGTGAACCATGAATAATAACCCCGGTTTTCGTTTCTCTGCTTGGAAAGAAAGAATCTTGTTTTTATATCCAATCAAATTGGACGCTGTCATTCATATTGATACGATATAATAAATTTATTATTTTTTTTTAGCTGATGTTGATTCAAATTCTCAAGATATACTTGGTGATCAACAAAATAAATCTCTTAATAACTCGAAAATTACATCAACAACTCCAGCAGATACAAGATCATTATCACCACATTTATATCTTCGTAGTGCATCACATATATTAACAACTCCACCTAATCCACTTGCATCCGATGATCATCCTGATAATAAGTTACCTATTGGAAATAATTTTCAAAAAACTTTTAGTCCTTTACCAAGTGCTGGTTTTGGATTAGCAACGACACCAAATAATAATAATCTGAAATTATCATCAACAGATGGATCATTTTTCAGTTTTGATGGAAATATACCTGAACAAGTACATTTAAAAAATACGCATAATGATAATATTGAAAGTACGAATCAAGATAAATTAATTCAACCATTAATTATAAATCCAGATGTTCGAACAAAAAAACTTTCTTCGAATAATTTAATTCACGATGATAATAGTAATCATAGTTCAACAAACAGTAGTGGTCATAATACTTCATCAAGAATCTTTAGTCAGATGTTACAATCTTCCGGTAATTTTAGAAGAAAAACATTTTGTTTTTTTAAATAAATTATTTTCTAGAACAAAGAAGATCACCTTCTTCATCATCACCACTTTCAACTGATGTTAAATTAACATCAATCGATCCCGGTAATAATCAAACAAATACCAATACAATGCCATTACAACAAGGTCGACATACGTGTACACATCCGGAATGCAACAAAGTAAAGAAAAACAATAGAATAGTTCAGGAAATAGGAAATTTTCATTATGAACTGCATATTTTATTCTAATCTAATTTTTGAATGAATTCGTTAGTCATTATATCATTGTCTTTAGATATTTGCAAATAAAAGTGCTCTGGCAAAACACAAATTAACGCATAGTCAAGATCGAAAACATAAATGCGCAAAATGTAATAAAGGCTTTAAACGACTTGATCATCTGTAAGTAAAATATATAGATAGTCACAATGAATATGTGTTTTTTTAATTCAGTAATGGTCATATGTTAACACATGAAGAAGAAAAACCACATAAATGTCGTGTACCTAGTTGTAATCGAACATATTGTGATGCTCGTTCATTAAAACGACATATTGAAAATAGTCATCAAGATATATTAGCTGCTATTCATGAAGGTGGACATGAAGAATATAAAAGATTTTTACCTGAAACAGCTATTGTTAAAACAAAAGATTTATCAATAACTAATGAACTTTCAATTGATTCAGTTGATAGTAATTCTCCTCGATCATTAATTGATAATGAACAATCATTTAATATTCGAACATCAACTGGAAATAAAATTCTAACAACTTATACATTTGATGAAGAGAAATATGTTGAATGTCAAATTTGTAAGAAAACTTTTAAAAGTGGTGCTGCACTTAATGGTCATATGCGATTACATGGTGGATTTAATGAAGTATATCTAAATATATTTTATTATTTGAAATGATAATATATGTTTATTTAGACACAACCAACACCGGCTTCAACTCCTAAGACACAAAAACCGAAACATACAGCAACAAGTACAAAACAAAAACGTATCAATTCACCATCAACTTCAATAGCAATTAAAAAAGAAGAACAAGATGTTCCTATGAATTCATCAACGAACGATCTTTATCATCAACATCAGTATCATCACCATCAACAACAATCACCATATTCAAGTGTATCATCCCCTTCAGATGTTCATCAACAACAATTTTATGATCGACTGTCATCGTCACGATCACGTTCAGTATCATCATCTGTTATTTCGAATTCAGCAACATCATTTCCCTCATATACAATTCAAAATCCGATGAGTGTACAACCACCAAACAAACAAATGCGAAAACAAAGTCCATTATCGATGCCTGGATTTGATCAATCTCGTATTAATAATTCAAATGGAATAATGCAAGTTAATTCAATTCCAAATCACCAGGTACTATAATAGATAACTACTAGATTACTATTAGGAAACCAATTGATACTATAGCAAACATAGTACATATTTTAATAACATTATTTGACAGATTAATGAAGCATAGCATATCAAGTACTTCGATTATTCTTGCATCGATCTAATATTTACTTATGTAAATTCTTAAGAACATTGAAATACTTAAGTTAGGAATCAGAATCTATTATAACGCACGAATAATCATTAATATACGAGACTTTAAAATTTAATTTAGATGAATGGAATGCATTCGCAATATTCATATCATCAACGTCCATCAAATTTTACACAATTTCAAGTAACTCCATCACCATCCATGCCAACAACGTCATTATCAACAAATCTACATCATCATCTTCTTCGTCAAAAAACTGAATTACTCAATCAAGATTTTCATCTTCATTGTCAACCATCACCTTCATTAGGTGATCCTATCCGTTGTACACCACCACCACCCCCACCGATACAATCATATTTTATTCCTTCAGCTAGTGAAAACAGAACATAAAGTTTTTCAAACACTTATTGAGCAATCTTGTTTTTTTTTCTAGTACCAAATTCAACTTCTGCAATCATAAATACACCGGTAACATCACCATATACAAATCCAAATGCTAGTCATGTTTCACCATCATCTCCATTACAAATGCGCAATGATAATCATGTTCATACAATACCTAATAATGGCATGCAATTATCACCAGCTATGAAATCAACATCATCATCACATTCATCAATATCATCATCATCCTCATCATATATAACACCTAAACAACGTATTTTGAATGCTATTAAACAAGTCAAACAAGATGATCAACAACAAATAATTGTAGAACCTGAAGAAGACGAAGATGAACAATCTTCATCAATGAAAATTGTTGCTGATCATGATAGTCCAATAAAAATAAACCCAATGTCAGGTTTTCTTATTGGTACACCATCATCTAGTAGTACAAGTTCATTATCATCTGCATCAAGTAATACACATTTTAATTATGATAATATTCTTCCACCAGTAATACCAACGAAACGTGAAAGTACTCCAAGTATATTTCCATGGGCATCACAATTTCGAAAACAATTAAGTATTAATACTGAAAAGATGGCATTAAATCCTATACCATCAACTCCATATACACCACCACCAATGTTAAGTCCATTTCGAAAAGGTCCAGGCCTTTATTATCGAGCTTTTTCTCAATCAGGAGAAACACCATCAATACCAACAACTCCTGCTATAACACCTGGTGGAGAAGATTCAACAGGTCCAAAAATTAATATTGGAAGAGACTATCAAGCAATTATACCTAAACTTCGAACAAGAATGGATGATTATACAGGTTAGTTATTAAGTACTCGAATACTGATTGTATATATTTTCATTGTAGAAAATGACGATGAATTATTATTTTCACCACTTGAATTAACATCACAAGATGAAAAAGCATTAGAAAAATTTGAACAATTAAATCAACTGAATCCATTTTTATTTTCACCACGTGTTTCACCAGTATCATATCCACTTGAATTAGTTTATATGTTATTACATGAATATAATGGTAATTTACAACGTACATTAGCTAGTTTACTTGAAGGTACAGCTAATGATATAAAACAATGTCGACCAATACATCGTTATCATTTTTCTGAATGTAATAATTGGACAAAAGAAGAAATTGATGCTTTTACAAGAGCATTACAATCGTCTGAAAAAAATTTTGAAGTTGTTAGCCGAGCAGTAAGTTATTCTTTTCATTCACTTATATATATATAGTTTTTTTTTGTATTACAAAAAGGTTGGAACAAAAACTATAAAACAATGTATTGAATTTCATTATATGCCAAAAGTAAATATATCTGCACGAAAAATATTATCAACAGGAACAAGTTCTGTTATGACTCGACGAAGAAGATCTCAATTAATAAAAACTAAACAACAACAATTAGATGATGAAACATCTTCATCACCATTCAGTGAATTTAAAATCGTATGTTATTTATTTTATCATTTAAAATCGAATTCATTTCTTTTAGGATGATGATAATTCAATAATGAATAATGATAGTTCATCTACAACTCAATTTACCTGTGATATTGATGAATGCTCAATGGTAAGAAAATAATGATTATAGAATATAGAATAATTTCTTTTGATTATTAGACATTTACAACTCAACGTGCATGTCGAGCTCATCGTAAAGAACATCGTCGAATAACTAACAATAATAATAATATGACAACATTGACAAATACAAAAACGAAGCCGAAATATTGATTTGAATAAGTGAAGTATTCTTTTTCTGTATATACATATTCTTTTTTTTGTTTCGTATTTTTTCAAACTATCAACAGTGATTAATTTTGATAAGACAACAAGACTCGAACAAACAATGTGTTTTTATGAGCACTTTACTTTCTATATATATATGTGTGTGTTTATTTTGAAAAAGACGTTTTTTTTTTTTTCTTATATGCCTTATATATTTTAAACGCGAGAAGTAGAAAAACGGTGAATCGGATCTCGGTGTGCGTTTGTGTCCTTTTAGTCAGATCATTTATTTGTGTATGCGTGCGTGTGTGTGTGTGTGTATTAAGTTTTCTTTCTCTGCACTCTCAACTACATCTAAATAGATGGATGTAGTATAACATTTGCTTCTTTTTTTTTTTTGTTTTCTTTGGCTATAAGTGAAAGAAGAACAGCGTTTAGATGTGCTTTTTTTCTTTATTTCTTTCCCTCTCTTATTTGTGTGTGAGTGAAAGTTTTTATGTATAAAAAAACCGAAAAAAACCTAGAAACAAGTGATTTTAAATATCAATTTTATTTCTACTATAATCAGGCACATCATCCATTGGTTTACCTTTTGTTTCAGGTAAAAGTAATGAAAATAAAACAACGATAAAAGCCAATATTGATGATGCATAGAATGTATAGGATGTATATTCTTTACTAACTGATGCATTCAATATTGGTGTTAGAATAGCACCAAAACGACAAAGTGCAAGAAAAAATCCATTTGCTGTACTTCGAATAGATGTAGGAAATAATTCCGGTACAAATATCCATGTTATTGCAGTTGTTCCCGATATTGAATATTTTCCAAATTGAGCGATGAAAATAGTTGCAATTGAATTATATTTTGTAATAATTGGAATAAGAAGAATACAAAGAATAGTTAAACTCATCATAATAATAAATGAACCTTTACGACCAAGTCGAGTAGAAATAAGTACAGAACTTGTTATATAACCGGCTGCTTCGACTACAGCACCTAGTAAAATTCCTAGATATGGCGAAATATCTAATGCAGCAAGACCATAACTTATTTGAAAATAAATGAGTGTTGTTGTAAAACCTATTAGACTTGTAATTAATAATTTAATTATTGTTTTTCGATTAGTAAGTAAATTAACAGACTGTTGAAAAGATGTGACAGTATTTCCACGTGATGATTTTTTTGGTTGATTTTGTAAAAAATCCTGATAATATGAATACCAATCTGTTTCTTGTCGTCCGTTTTGATTAGCTATTCGTCGTAAGATATGTTCAAGTTCATTATATCGTCGTTTTGCATACATATATAATGGTGATTCAGGCATAAAATATAGATAAGGTATTCCTAAAGCAATAAAAATAAGATTAGCCCATTTTAATAGTTGCCAATGACGTGTCAAATATGCAAATAGAGTAATAATTACTTCTCCAATTGTATATGAAATAAATGAAAGATTACCAGCAAAACTTGTATGTGCTGATGATGTTAATTCAAGCATTAAAATAAATACTAAACTATAATTAGCAGTAATTAAACCTGATGCAAATTGATTGAGTAATAAAATAATAAATCTAAATAGAACAAAAAATTCATTTTATTGAATAAAACTTTGTTTTTTGTAGAAATTAAATTACTTTGTATTTACTGTCATTGGTATCCATTGCATTATAATTTGAGTTATAAGACATGTAAGAAATAGAACAATAGTAACTATAACTGTCATTTTCTTTCGACCATATTTATCTGCTAATGAACCAATAATAAGTAATGAAAATCCACTAAATTGTAAAGCTGTTGCTAACCAACTTTTATGTGATTTATTTTGACAAACAAAATTCGCTTCTTCAGTAAATGTATGTCCAAAAATTGATCGATCATATATCCAACCATTTGGACAATTTATAAGTGTGTTCGTTTGATTTTCTATTTTGTAAACTATACATTTTTCCCATGTTTTTCCATCTTTAGTCTTAGGAATGTAGTTATTAATATATAATTCATGCGTATGATTTATTGGATTATATTGTGTATCATCTGGCCAGATATTATTTGGTAAACGACATCGATGATCAGGTTCCGCAGCACCAAAAACATAATAGAAAGATATAATTCCAAAACTCATTGATATCCAATTCATAAAAATATAATGTAAAATTTGAAATCGACCAAAATCACCACATTTTCGTAATATATTATCCAATGAGATGCCGGTTGTTGCCAACGATGATAAACTTCTATTAATATCTATTTGGTCGACCTATTTATACAAAAGAGAAATTCGAGAAAAATAAACAAATTATATTTACTTGTAAATTATTTTTATTAATATCAGTATGTATAGATTCAATCTCACTATCTTCTCCACTCATTTAGCTGTTTTTCGTTGAAAGATTAAAGGTAGATAAAATATTTATGTATATATCCATTGTTTTTATTTCGTACATTAGGTCACCTGAAAGCAAGAGAAAAAAAACTGTATTTCGTTATTTTTCTTCTACATACATAGAATCAGGCATGTGGCCTTCATAATATATTTTTTCTTCACAGAATAGAAATATAATATTTTTTTGTTCTGTTCTTGCTTGTCTATGAATCGCATTGTAGCAAATGACGGATGCAACATTTTTTTTTCTTCTAACCTCGTTCTTTGTTTTCTTTTAAAGTAAAATAAACGAGGTATATTTTTAGCATTGCATTACTATACAATGATATTAATAATATAGTATATTTGATGTTGTTCCATATCTTTATGTTTTCAATAGCGTTAGAATTTCATCTACAAAATTGCTATTCTACCATATGTTTTTTCTCTGACACATGTCTAAGAGAAATAACCTATATGTTTTGATATGATGTTTTGTGAAAAAAAGAGATAACTTACCATACTGTGACATCAGTGATATTCATATCACATATTATTCGAGGCAAATACTAGTATCAGCTGGAAGATCAACAACATATTTAATACAATATGACGCAAACCATTTGTTATGTATATCCTCTTTTATGCATAAAACTTGTCATTTTGTGTCGTAGTGATGTGAATAATAAAAAATCAGAAAATATCGACATCAAACTGATTCCTTTTGTTTTACGATTTTAATTAAGAAGTTACATTCGTTTATAGCAAACTCCACAAAAAGAGGGTGTATGTCACTCTTTTCATTAATTTCTATAAGCATATTTACATTACTTCGTTAAAAATTGCATTAATAATAGTGTTTATCTATTTTTGAACTATTATACTTGTTGTTTTTCTCATCTATACAATAAAACTTCTAGATTTATATATTATTATGTAAATATTATAAACAATAACATTTTCCTAAATACAATAGTAAGTTGCAATTTAATGGTAGCTAAAAAACATGAAAGAATTGCCGGCTGTATAAGCGACTTTGTATTTTAATGTGTTTCTGTAAGAATAATATTATTGCCGTTCAATTTCAATATATAAAATTGTATATAAAGACCATTTAAGTTATAAACAACCAGAAATGTGAATATAAATGTTGTATTTTCAACATTCAACCATAGAAATATACAATCACACATATAAACACATGGAAGTTTTTGTTTGAATACATATGATACCATAAAGATTTACTAATACAAGTAATAAATAATGTATTTTCAAATTGAAGAATATTTGTTTACTGAAAACTAGTATATTTGCTTATTGATCATTCGATCAGAACATCTCTTCTTATATGTAATCAATACATCAACTAGATAAAATAAAGTTCGAGAATGAGCATGAAAGGAAGTTGATTGTTTATTATAAAATTGGAAAACCAAATGAACTGAGAGAAACTGTTAAGATGGAAAAAACCATCTTTATAATAGAAAAATAAAGCAAAGACTAAAAACAATAAAACAAGTAAAATTATCAGTAGAAACAGTTACATACAAACGACGATTATTTGCATGTGGCAAGAATGGGAGGAATAATAGGTGAATAAGTCGTATTGAATAAGTTGATCAAATACGACTGGAATAATTCGTACTTGTTCACTTATAACTTGTTCACAAGTGTGTGGTTGATGATTTTTTTCGGGAAAGATCAATGTAAAATTCACCACATACAATTCATTATATCCAGATACTCGAAAAGAGACAGCAGATGAAACGGTTACATTCCCAAGTGTTTCATCCACTGAAATGTCAATAGGTCCGAGAAACGGTTGAGCTTCGTTCAGATAACGAGTATTGTCTGGATCATACAGTGGGATGGTAAAGTTCTTGGAACCTAGTGGTGGTGGTTCAGAGATTGTACTACAATTGAAGGAAACCGTGAAAATAAAATTACTAAACGTTGCCTTTTCACAACTGGCGTTTGTCACAATGAATGTCAGGTAATATGTAACAGAGGTACAAAGCGCTCCAGGCTGACATGGATACCAAACTCCACTGTCAGTTCCGGAGGCTGTAATGGTCTTGTTCGTGGACGCCGCAGGCAACGGCGGGTGGTAATGCAAATTGATTGATGCATCTGTACAGACTGCTAGTGCAACCAAAAAATCGGCAAGTGATGAATTAAAAATGCCGACTAGCCATGTTAGAATCAAGATTGGAGCACATAACTGCCGAAACATTGCGTCAAGCAGTGTTAAAATATGAATGATCTAGAAGAAAAAGATTAATTTGAATTGATAAACTCATGTAGACTGTACTAACAGACGGACAGTTTTAATTCATAATGTAATCTCACGTTTCCTGTAATATTTTCTAACGAGTGCTTTAATTACCATGATCAAGAGGGTATAAGTTAACTTCATAATAATAATTGGATGTTTGATGAATATATGAGTGAATATGTTTATGCAGCAAAAATCTCAGTATTAGATAATACTTGCAATCATTCTCTCGGGAGAGATGAAAGAAGGATATCTTTTATTATATACTCATTTATTTTTACTATTTAATACACATAAATCAGTATGATGCATTTGATTTTTTTGGATTAGTGAACGATGAGCACGAGAAAATAAAGCATGAATAAAAAAAGCACGTTTATTGTGTGATTATAAATAAATAGTATATAAGAGAAAACGTAGATATTTACGAAAAAAATTACGATATAATATTGTGTGCAATTGAGTTGAGAGTGTGAGTATTATATTTAACTCTCATTCACATCTACCCGTAAGAACGAATCTTGAAATGAGAAACTGTGATATAAAAGTATATTATTTTAGTACTGAAAATTGAACACAAACACTATGATGGTATTTACCTTTTAAAAAATCCCAATGGCGATCGACGTAAAAGAAAAAAAATAATGAATACAGTATTTGACATTAATCATAAACACGAAAATACACTGAATGGAAGAGTGACAAGCACACGATTAGATATATCTTTTTTTATCAGTGATCACTGATGTATAAATCGTATTTCTTTGATTCTATTAAAACAATATTCGAAGGATAAATGAAAATTGTCTACATCGATATTTTTCGCATTCTCCTATTGCAGTGAGCAGTGACGTCTAGATCATTTTTTTTCTTTTATCCTAAAGATAAAAGAAACAAGCAATATACAAGAGAGTTAGTGTAGGTAATACTTATCTTCATTGCATATGTAACCAAAGTTACATTTATTAATATAAATCAAAAAGAAAAACGATCGTGCATTGTCTGGGTCTGATCATTTAATGCAAAATGCGCAGCTTACGAGGTAGAAACATTGGTTCCGAGAGAAGATGTTTTTTTTGAAAGATATGAATAGATTTTCTGCCTCAAAAGATATCACATGAATAAAAGTTAAGGCGATTTCAGTTAAGTTAAACATGTTTTTATTTAATTTTAATACAAACAAGAAAATCAACAATTATTGAGTCATTCGCTCGGTTACTAGTTACTTTTTCATTCTGTCACTTAATACATGTTGACTATTGAAAACAATTCGCGTTGTTTTGATGAAACAAAACGAGAAAAGAACGTTTATATTAATATTTTGTCCTCCGTATACTATACCTAAGTAAAACGTGACTGTAAATAAATCCCAAATATATGTTTCACTCCTAATCAATCTCATGATACCTTAAAATAACATATAACTTTCTTCCATTTGAGTATAGGAATTTTTTTTATAAATACTTGTTATAAAAAAGTTCGTTTCTCAACACAAAATATCTTAATAGTATTTATCAAATAAGAAAGATAATTGTACACGGTGTTGTTTGCTGTCGTCTCTACTTAATAAATTTAAAACACATAAAATAAATATAAAAATTACTTATGGGGTTTTATCAAATTAAATTAATCTAGAATAGATGACAAAATGGAATATTATTAAAAGATGAAAAAAATACTTACTAAGGTGTTTCTTGATCTTGATTAGATACGAATTAAATAATTAAAAAATCGATATTTTTCACAAGTAAACAATATACAAAGTTCTTTTTTTTTGTAATAAATAAATAGATAGATAACTGATATATTACTAGAGTTTCTTAATCCATATTCTCTCTTAGTTTTAAAAAACTACAAGCAAACAACTTTTCAGTGTGTTCTGTTTGTTCGCAGGGCTGGAACATTTAATTTAACATGATTTAATTAAGTGTTTCCATTTAATATTTAATTGTAAATGTTAAAATGTACATATTTTATTTTAAATTAAGTTAAGATGAATAGTCCAGTCCTATTAGCTCCTATAGAATTGATTTTTTTTCTTAGCTATTTGATAACAGTTGAAACCTATAAAATAGAAACTAGATTTTTATCGAAAAGAATCCTTTCGTATTTAGTTGGGTGTGGGTGTGTGTGTTATATCTATACCACACCGACCCCTTTTCTGATTATATAATTTATTAATAGCAAAAATTTTGTTATTCAACAATAAATAAGCAAGATACATCATTTTCTAGAAAGAACAAGCGCTTTCCTTATCTTATTTTTATTCGTAATATGACGATTGTGTAGCACGGATACTATAGTATGACTCTAAATATTGGCAGTGAGTCACGTCTGAAGGAAGAAAATATCTATTCAGCTACACATAATACGACAGAAAGGAGAACTCGTGTTGCTTCCATGATGAATAATATTTGTTCGCCATCATTCGACTGTATACATATGTGTAAGTTATACAGTGCATATTCTCATGCTAGTTTTCTTATATTCTCGACACATCATTATATTCATTTATACATTTCGGATAAAGAAGTGCAATAATTGATCCGATTCTCTTTAGATCAGGTATATATGCTCTTCGCTTAGAGTCACATCGTCAAAATTAAAGAATGCTGAACAACTCTCGTATAAGAACTATAATGTTTGTACTAATAATCTTTATTTTTCTAATATTAGTTTCGGCAATGAGTGTAACATTCTTTGTCGAACATCAATGACCATATTATGCACTAATCATTATATATTTTGCTTTTAGATTCAAAATCAAGTGTACAGATGTTTAGTTTAGAACAGTTACCGAATGAATTATTACACTATGTTTTATCTTACCTTGATTCTGATGATATTATTTACAGTTTCTTAAATCTAAATATAAGATTTTACACTTTGTGTCTTCCGTATATCGAACGATTAAATTTGTCGACGACTAATAACGAACAACGATGGAATACACAGAATTATCAATTAATTCCATCATTAATTAAAAGATTAAAATTGAACGATACACAACTTGATTGCATCTTTGACTCTCCTACTGATGTCCCAATATATTTCACGCAACTCCAAACAATAAAATTAAGAATTCTCTTACAGAACGAGCATTACAAACAATATTTACCTATATTCAAAAAAATCCTATCTTCATTAGTATTGGAATATCAAAATGCCACATTATTTTCTAAAATTGATCATGAAATTTTAACAGAATTTATCATTGATGATTCCTCGACAGTGCTTAGTAGCTTGACCATTGATGGTATATGTTTATCGATTGATAGTGGAATTTTTCAAATATGTCACACATTGAAACGTTTAACATTATCGGTTGAATATCAACATCATTTATTTATTTTATTAGAATATCTACCCGAATTAGAATACTTGAGTATCGGCATCAGAGAAGGTAAATTGAAAAATCGTTCATTTCTAACCAACTTTAGATCAAATACTTTGACATCTATATCCTCGTATGAAATCATACATAGAAGTTGAGAAAAATAAAGCGAAGAAGTTTACTTGCCGTGTAGGTTGATTGCAAGACATCTGATTTGAGAATAATAGATTGCTATTTAGAGGGTTATACCGTTTTACTTTGTATCAATCTAAATAGATCTATTCACATAATATAAAAGTTTACTATCAAGTTTTTTATTGTTTCAGGTAAAGCAGGTAAATACGATTACAATTATTCAAAAACAAAGACTCTTCAATTAAAACTACGACAACTTATCATATCTGCCAATGATATTGATTTCAATGACTTGAATCTTCTTCTTCGACAATGTCAATCGACATTAGAAATATTAAAATTGCGTTTGAAAATTGATTATATCATTGATGGACGAATGTTAGAACCATTGAAACGACCATTGAAACAATTTTATTTTTATTTTTTCTGTCATTCGCTTGCTGATCCGTCTGTTAATACAGATGATTTGTTGTCATCGTTTCAAACATCTTCCTGGTTACAAGATCAGTCTGTAATGTTTTTTAAAAATTCATTTTATCAAACTTATACAATCGTTTCACCACCATATAATTGTCACAATTTTAATTGTTCATTAACAAATGAATTTTTAAATTATCGATTAAATAATCGACATGAAGACATGAAAATGCCACGAATCAAACGAATATTTCTAAATGATAAACAACAACCTATGTATACTATTCGATTTTTTACAATGTTGCAGTCTATCTTTATCAATCTTCAAATATTAGAAATTGGCTCTAGTTTTCATCTCATGGAAAATGATGATAATAATAATTATTCTTGTAAAACCGACACAAAATTAACTACTGTTCATACTTTGATTATAGTAAATAATCAAGATCATCTTAATGTTAAACGTTTATTTCGATTATTGCCGAATCTATACCGTCTTGTTATTGACTATGATCTGTTAGTGGCTAGTATATATGATTTACATTCGGTTGAGAGGCAAAAGAAGTGTCAGTATCAACAATTACAAGAAATATTAATTCATTTCCAACCGAATCAACATATCGAACTGGATGATGATTTTAAAAATAGAGTAAAACTTGTATATGGTGAAGCTAAAATATTGTCATAGACTAACTTCGAACTCATTTGTATTCATATTCAAAGTTTTTTTAACCAAGCAAACGCTTAAAAAAGAGTTTTAAACTGAGCAAAATAAAAGCATCATGAGGGTGGGTGTGAGTAATGAATGAGAAGGATACCCACGCCCTTTTATTTCAACGAAAATCACAAGCAGTGCTTTGTTGATATGCGCGTTCAATCTGTTTATACTAATAATAATTTTATTTGACGATAATTTATTAAAAAAAAAAAAAGCATGGTTCGTAAAAGATCGGTTCAGTCTAAAAGTAAAACACGATAAGAAGCCTATAAATGACAGTTAGCTCGTCAAAAATATCTTGATATAATCCGTGTCGAAAGAGAATTTGAAAATTTCATCATATTATTCACGATATTATTGAAAAAGCTGTGCTGGTAATTTCACGTCTAGATCATAAACATGCAAGATAAATACAAATTCAAAAGTACAAAATAATAGAAGTTACTAAAACTGGGTGTGGGTGTCAGGTGAATATAGTATCCATACTCACACCCTCAAGATATTTGTTCTATTTATTTAGTAAGAACTATATTTAAAAAACTTCAATCTTTATTTAGTTTAATTGTTGTTGAATTAAATAATAATAATCATTCGATAATTGATACATTAAAAAATATTTATAGTTTAACATTAATTGATTTATCAATTGCTAATAATGAACTTTTTCACTTGCTACGAAATTATTTGACTAATATATTAAACAAATAGTCTAGTGATACTATTTTATCTGATAAGGATGAATATTTATTTCAAGAAATTGTTGAACGCTTTTGCAAAATGATACAACATATAAAAACCGCGAATCAAGTTTTAACATCTCTATTTCAAACGTGGTTTTTAAATGAATTATTATTTAAAGTAATAGCTTCACTATTAGAAGATATATCCATAAATTCTTCTAAATATTCGAATCAATTCGATTTTCTCAAAGTGGTTTCGATTGTATTAGAAATAATCCTAATGTATTACTATTAATTGATCCTATCATACATTGTCTTTGTTCTTCGACTTATATCAATACATTCAAACAAATTAATATTAAATCTCAATTAACAATTATTAATCAATTATGGTTAGATAATATGGTAAATTCTTATCAACAGTTCTATGAATTATTTTTACCCACAATTAATCAATGTTTTATATGACAGCATTATTACGTTATGTTGCTTATTATCCTTCAACACAAGAATATTTAATAAATAATTTAAAAATTATTGATTCTATATTAATTCTATTGAATAATTATACTTTATTAGATAATATATTAACAGCAACAGAATATAATTCCAAAACAAATTTAACTGATTCAGCTATTTCATTTATATTTAATTTATCACATGATTTCAATTTTTAACATTAATTAAAGAAAATTCATATTTTTCAAAAGATATTTTTCTTAAATTAAAATATGCAAACATTGATCGAGTGAAATTACATGCTTTTATGATTTTAGCAAAAATATTAAACGAACTAGATATTCTAAATTTAGATAATATTGACATATTAACGACTGTTTTTATTGATTATTTATACAAAGCAATTAATGATCCATGTCATAGTTTTCAAGATGTTCCAGTCGAACATTTATTGACATCTTTAAAAGGTATTAGTTTATTTTTGTTGGTTAATTTTCAGTAAAATATAATCTTTGATTTTATATATTTAGCATTTGTTCAACATGATGAAATAAAAGATGGGATTGCTAAACAAAATTATTTTGAAATTTTAATTCGTTGTGCAACTCAAACAGATCTTCATGCTGGTTTAGTTCTACAAACTTCATTGGAAATTATTTGGAGTTTAACAT